TAATAATAATATAATAATATTCACACTGAGATCAGCAGATCTTATCCCCAGGCATATTTGTAAGGCAGAGTTGAGCTCCATATTTACAAATTATGAATGTTTGTTGTTTTACCAGAAGCAGATATACATAGGACTGCCAAAAGATGATGGGTTGTTTCTTTTATAGATTAAACATATGGCCTTTTCCTAATAATATAAGTTATATATCAATGGTTTAAAAATGGTTCCTTGGTGAAACCATTTGAACTGATTACTGTGAAATAATATTTCTAGAAATGTGGAAGCTATATTTGATGTAAATATTATGCAGTGCCTTTTGTTAAGGACCATCAAAAAAGATACCTTTATCAGTATCTCATTGTTATGTACAAATAATTTATTGAAAAATGTAATTTACTAATTGGTTAAAAAGATGAACCAATGTTGTTGTCCTTAGATTTAAGCTTATATTTTAATCAAATTGCTGTTGATTTTATGTTTTCATCTAGAAAGTCAGAATATAAAAAAACTTTTTAAAGTATTTCTTTTAAAAACTATAAGCAATGGACTGTGCAGTTGGACAGAATTCTCTTTCTTTGGGAGAAAATGTAAAATAAGCACGGTCTCTCTTTAGCAAAACAACAACAAACAACAATCATAATAACTCACCTTATTTCGGTTTGGAGGAAATTTCAAGAAACGTAGTACTATGCAATGCTGGAATGTAAAAAAAATTTGCAGAATTAACATCATTATTTAATTTGGACTATAGGCTGCTATTGATAAAAATAAAATTGGACAAAATAAATCCCTTTTCTTTTAGACTGAATATAGGCAAGTAAATTTTATCCAGTATGCAGCTTTCAGATGATATGAGCCAGAAACCTATCAGAACATGACTTGCTCCAGTCAGCAAGCGACTAGATCAGAGTGTGATCTAAGTAAGCTTGATGTAATCCATATAATTCTGGACTTCATGTGGGTGAATTAATGTGCATGGATGCTGAAAAAAAACAAATGAAGCACTGAAAGTAATATCAAAAGTGTTTGATACAACTGATGTGCAGGTAAACATTTTAATATTTGGAGGGAGGGAGATAGTCCATGTTTCTGATAATTAGCTAGTTTAAGTTTTGGAACAGATGACATAGAAAGTTTTATTTTCAATCATGTTTAAAATAACCTCTTAATGGACTACACACATTTAATGTAATATACTCTGGAGGAAATGGTTAATGTTTGTGATGCATCAAAAACACAAAGCCAGATTACTAGTAACCCCTCTCCTTAGATTCCTTTCAATTAGAATATTTATATCACCCATTACAAATTATTGTTGTACTCTGAGTTCAAGATAGGCTAGGGATAAGCTACCAGATCTAGGCTGCAAAAATCCAGACAACTACTTCTAAATGGCAGGAATGAGTTAAAGATTTTCTATATCTCTTTTCTATCAACTAGCAGCCATCTGCATTTCTGCAGTCCAAGAGGCTTCCCATAACTAAAACACTCAGTAACCCAAACTGGTTTCAGCTTTATCCCATTGGAGTGTGGCCAATCCAAACCCATTCAACAAACCTTTTGAGATGCAACATTTTGTTTCAAATAAAACACATCTCCCATTTCATGCTTGGCCCTACCACGTTGCAGCAACCAAAACCACCATTGTCTAAAGAGGTGTTTGATAAAGATGAATTGCAATGTAAAGGTACATTCTTGTAGCTAAAACTGTGGATAACTAAAAGTAAAAACAGTTGCATTTAGATATTAAAAGCTAGTACCTGGCATTACAGACAGTTATAAATCTCATATCCAACTTATCCCAGTGCTTGGAACAGAGAAGAGTGCAATTTGATTCTGAACATTTAGCACTGCTCCTAAATTATATAAGTTAAATACACACTTGGGAGGAAATGGCATTTGTTAAGTTAATAAACTTTAAACATTAAGAAAAAAAAGCAGCAGAACCTGCTCTGAACTTTTCAGTATGCATGTTCAACCTCTGCTACAAAGAAAAGAACAGAATCAGCATAAGGCATTTAGGACATACAATGCAAACTCTCTATACTCTTGAGTTTTGTTTTTGTTTTTGTTTCTTTTCTTTTTCTTTTCTTTTTTTGCTATTTGGTACCAATTAATACAAATTACTTTGTAAAATACTCTTCTCTAAGTATTATTATTTTCTACTATTCCACAGAGGCCCATTCACATATCAACAAAACTATTTTGTGCCTAGAAAAGTACCAATACTAAATGCTGGATATTGGTTGATCCAGACTTAACATTAATTATTAGTTGTCATGATGCATCTTCCAGATGTATACAGTAGATAAACCACTGTTTATATGATTTCCTTCCCAATCCATGTTAAGAATTTCAAGGAGCTATTACAAATAGCCACTTTTGGGGATGGCTTTGAAATAAGAGCAACCCAAATTACTTGAACTATGTTTTTATCACAAGAGTTTCCCTCAGGAAGATTTGTTAGATATTGGTTCATGCAATACAATAAACTTTGGCTAAGCTTTACAAACCACAATTGGATATAATGTTGAACTTTACCGCGTATGTTTTTACCTTGCCTCCTCCAAAGCTTGAAAAAAATTGATAACATTGTAATGTGGTTCCCAATGAGAAAGAAGTTATCATAATGGCATAACATATTTTTATTCTTTGTAACTCAAAAGAATGTTGGAAAGAAATTTTGTATAGGGCAAAGCTTCTGTCTGTACACCCACACAATAACCCTCCAAAATCTAAGCAGAACCCAATTTGTTGTATGAAGGGAAGCCAGCAAAACAAAGATCAGGTTCAAAAATTGGACTGATCTTTTCTACAGAGAAAAAATTCCAGAAAATTCCCTCAATGCAAGCCTAAGGGAGAGGCAGTTGGGCAATGGCTCCAAATGTTGGTGACTTTGCTATTCTAAGTCCTTCCCTCCTCCTTCCCAGTCACATGAACATAGCCTTTGCAGCCTGCCCCATGTTTCCCAATGCACACATATATACTGTACAACCCACACAGATGTAACATGAGGGGACCACAGAGAGACATTGTAACACAGAAGGAACTACAGATGACTGCTGATAACAGAGTTGGAAAGAATTCCAAAAGCCATGTTCTACATATTGTCCCAGAGAATGTCTACTTTGAAGAAAATAAACAATTAAAAGAATGCAGGGATTATTTAATACAAATTATTTATTGGTTAACTCCTCATTTAAGAAATCATTTACCTCTTAATCTGAGACATAATAATGTGTTGAAGTCATGCAGCATTCTTTGTAGTTCAACAGAATACAAAATGCCTGTTTAAACCCAAAACTTTAACCTCTACAGTATATTTCTTCTTAAAAGAGAAAGTAGAAGATGCCAAAAGATAAAACAATCACATGACAGCTCTCAGAAGCTTCCAACGGGGGCCTATGCATTACATTTACTTTTCAGTATTTCTGAATTATTTCATATTTCTCTGAATATTTTTGGATAGAGGAACCTTGACCCAAACATATCAGGCTTCTTGAATTCTGCCATGACCCTCCTAGGACATCACGGCTTGCTTTCCCACATACTTAGCTTGTGATGTCAAATGCAATTGCTTTAAAAGTATGACTCAGGCACTTCGCATTCAGCTTTAAAGGACTTGCTCTCAACCTGCTTCCCTTCCTGCACCAACTTTTAGGAATTCTTACAAGAAGAATTCCGGTAAGAATGATTAAGGACTCTCAATTTATGCTAAACTACAACTTCACATTCAAGATATGGGTGGAGTAAAATGTTTTAATCTCGATCAGGCACGCAGCGGTTCCTCTGTGTCTCAGGGGGACCCAAGGCATGCTTTCCCAAACTGATGACAGTTTGCTTTCTCTGATCGTTTCCAATCTTGCTTCTACTCTGGATTCCAACACTAACTTTCAGTATCTATATTTACGGAAAGCAGAATTGAATTATTGCAAAAAAACCAGACTGCAGAGTTTGCAAGAGCGTGGAAAGAGGCAGAAATTCCAGGGTGTGAGAGCGGGGCGGCAGGAGATTCTCCGGCGACTTCCCACTGTTCCCACCAGCCGAACGGGGAGAGCAGCGGAAAGGCACCCGGCCGGTCTGAGGGGAGCAGGAGGAATGCTTTCTCCGGCCCGGGGGGGCCGGAGATCCGACGAAGAAGACGACTTCCTCCTCCCGGGCCGCTAGCGTGACTGCGGGGCCGCCGGCCGCAGCCGAGACGGAGCCGCGCGGGGGGGAGGGGGGCGGAGCGCTACCCGAGACCAGAGAGCCGTTGGCCGCGGTCTCGAGACAGGCGCGAGGTGAACAGTGGGCAGCGCGCGGGCCCCCTCAGCGGCGTTACCTGTCTGTGGGAGACGACGAGGCTCTTGTTGCCCTCCCCGTGGTATCGCCATTCATTCTCATCCATCTTCTCCGCTTCCATCCTCCGGTCAATGGCACCTTCCTTACGGTTTCCGGGCGGGTTCCGTTCCGTTCCGTTCCGTTCCGTTCCTCTCCTCTCCTCTCTCTCTCTCTTTCTTCTTCTTCTTCACCTCGGCTACAACCGCGGCTTTTATCGCCTTCCTACGCCCGCCCACAAGCCCAAATAGCAATGAGAGCACCTTTTCCGATTCTCTGATCGTCATTCACGAGTCAACCACTCAGTAGTTTTTCAACACACACTAAGCTGCCGCCCGGGTCAGAACAGGAAGTTCCACCTTCCGCCATCGGGCAAGTGGAGGTCACCAACCCACGATAATAGTGCAAGGAATAAGGGGTGGGACTTCCTTGGCTAGCCATCTTTAATGAGGGCTGAAGCTTCCGCTGCCGTGGTCGAAAGAATATGGCCGGTAATAAACGCCATCCACAGTCCTGGAAAAAAGAGAAGGCTACACCAGCTTTACTGAGTATGCGCACAAGAATATTGCGCTAATGTATACGAGAAGCTGGATTACTTTAAACGATGCAATTACTTTGGAAAGGGTAATGATTGTTCTCTTCATTAACTTCAGATATTCATATTTTTATTCTTAAGTCATAGGATGATATAGTCAACGTAAATAAAATCAGCAGTGAAGATTGACACGGGACAGAATTTAAGGCTCAGTGGAATTTACTTCTGAATAGGCAAGTATAAATTGCTATATAATGCTGCTCATATTATTTTGCCCCTTTCTAAAGGTTTAGAGAATGTAACGACAGATTTTAAAAAGCATTTAACCTGCATAAATAATCCCAAGCCCTTGAGAACTGACTTAATACACAAGACTTTACAGCGGTAGCACTATGTGAAAGTATCTTATATAGAGTCTTGCATTTTGTCCATCAAGACACACATGATCTGTTTCGATAGCAGTTCTGGAAAATGTTAGCAGAATTGTTTCCCCGCTCCATTGCTGGCGAGGGTGATGGATACAATAACATGAAATCAAATTTTGAGAGGGAAGAGTGGACGCTGTCTTTACTTGCTGCAAAACAAAAGAACAGCATTTTAGTATAAACCTTCAGTGCGCTGTTATTGTTTTTGCAGAAAAAAATGCTTTTTCCAGAGATGAACATTCAAATGTGAGGTCTCCACCTGTAGTCTACACTGGTCCAATCTATTTAAGAAAAGTGTGATGGCAACAGTAGAATATCTGGTGTGCGTGCCAGAAGCCTCAAGCTATCGTTCCTCCTTAATCTAGATAAGAGTTGGGTAAAATGTTTGTCCTGAAAACGTTTCTCTTTGGTGTAAATAAAGACACGTGGTGCTGGCTACTGGCTTGGCTGGGTTGTGTGACTGCCTCGGAAGGCCATCTGCTGGGAGACTAGCGGGCTTCCTTGTGCAATTGGTTGGTCACTGTGAGAACAGACTGCTGGACAAGATGGGCCAGGGGTCCAATCCATCAAGGTGATTTATATAGCTGCCCATCTCACAATTGTAACTCCGGGCAGTCAATTTAAGATTAGAAGCCCACAGAACTAGAATAAATAATAGCAAAACAATAATAACATGATAATAGCAGAATGGCACCCAAAGGCAATCAAACTAAAACCACATAGCTTCAGTCATGTCAGAAAAAAATACAATGATGGGCTTGCCCAAGCTATTATTGTTATTGTTGTTGTTATTAACATTTTTTCTTCATTCCTCAGCTAAAAAGGCTCTCAGAGTAGCTTACAGATCAGTAAAATACTAAACCTTGTTTGTCCTCAGGTTTAAACTCTGCACTGGAATAGCTCTGTAATTTAAAGGAAATGGATTTCAGATCAACAATGGAGCAAGTCATATGTTGGATATAAGAGGCAAAATCCAAATAGTTGTGCCTAGACTTCAGACAGGAATTATTTAAAAATTTTGGTGAAAGACTACTTTAAAACATGTTTTTTGCTGTGAAAAGCTGTAACTTCAATTGATATTATCTTGTGGTTTTAAACATGAGGAAAACAGCCATTTTCATAATTAAAAAACAAAATAATGATGATAATATGTTCAATGTTATGGGTAACATAGATTACCCACGTAATTTTGGATTCACTACTGGAATATATGATGACATAATTTTTAAACAAATGGCACATTTGGTTGTTAAAGATATCTTTACTGGTATTACAAAGCATACCTCTAATAACTACCTACAATTATTTATATTTGGGCAAAATAAAGAAATGACATGTAATCCTGCATGAAAGGACTAAGTCCTGCTATATATTGGTTTAATTCATACCCTTCAATCCCATAATGAAAATAATTGGGCTTCAGATATGGTTGTTCATAGGGGCCTAAGTTACAAGTCGTATTAAGCTAACCTTCTCCATAATTCAGGATTATTCTAAATAAGCAGGCTAGTGTGTTCTGCCCTATTGTTCCACGTGACTTGTCAATATGAACAAACAAATCTGGGAACATTTAACCTGATTTATATAACCTTCCATTGAAGCAACAAATGTTAGCATCTTTCTCTTCTACCAAATCAGAATTTTAAGCAAATACATGTCCTTGACTGCTTGATTTGTTGCACTACTGTTATTGGCAAGAAGAGCCAAAAGAGAGCAGCTGGCAAAAGTCACTAGTGGGTTTACTCAATCATTATAACCATAATTGGGAAGAAACCAGCTGGTTGTAACTTTTTTGCCATATTCTTCAGCAGTGCATTTAATTTTTTTTCCTGAACAACTACACAGTTAAACTTCTTCAGGCATTGGTCCTGGGCCAAAATATTGCTGCAGTTTGCTAGACATGAATTCCAAGTGCTTTATTTATTTTAAGTTAAATATTTCCCAACAATTGCCCTTTGCTTTATGCTACACATCTATCCCTTGCTATGACTCACTTCCTGGAATGGAAAATGAGAAAAAAAAATGTTGAAACAGTTCAAAACAGCTCAGATATGACATCATTGCTAAAAGAAACTGGCTTTTGCATTATTTAATAAATTATTTGCATGCAGTGAAAGTTCAGTGTAACAGTTCATTGGGGGAGGGGGTTCCATCATATTGAAACATTTGTTAAAATCCAGACTTCCAGGGAAGCAACGGTGGACTGAAGATGGCTCCATGAGAACAGAGCCAACAACCATGGCAGAACAAGGAGCTGGCTAATGGATCAATTCCTCTCCGGAGGAAGAAGAGGACCAGGATTGCCCACAAGGGCTCCATACAGTGGATCCCCACGAGAAGACTATTAGATAGCAGTCTCTAGCAGGTTTTAGAGCTCTGGGAGCTGAGAGAAAACCATCTCTGCCTAAGCCACAGTTTGGAGCCTTCAAAAGGACACTGGTTTGCATGTTTCCTTTCTTAATCACTTCTGAAAATTGCTTGTTAACAAATTTTTCAATATTAAGAACCTTCAAAAAGGCAAGTTTCATTACACTGGGTGAGATTCCTTCTATCCTTGATAAAAGAAATTTTATGCAAATGTAAGAACTTTAAAAAATTCTTATTTTTGAATAAACAGCAGAAGGGTGATTAGAATGTTGATTTTGGAAAGTTATAAACAGACTAAGGAGCCAGAGGGATTTGAAATAAGATTTTGAAACTTATTACAAGAATCATTCCTATGGATTGTTTAAAATTTTATTTAAACAATATAAAGATTTTGAAACTAAGTGTAAGAAACCTTCCCATGAGAAAATGTTGATTAGAAAAAAAATGATAAGAGGGGACTTTGAAGGTTGGACACCAGAGGGAACAAAAAAACCCTAAAGATTATAACTAAAGGAGAAGAGACCCATTAATACAGAATGAAGCCAAATAATCTGACTTTGGAAGAATTCAAAGGTATTTGGGAAGAATGCACTCAGAAATTACTCTTAAGATTGTCTGCTACTATAAAATGGATTCAAAAGAGGTTATAGAAGAGTAACAGATTTTACTGGATAAAACAGAGACTCAGGCTGATTTGAATGTGGATCTGAAAGTGGATTTAAAAATGTCAGGCTACAAGAATGATACAGAATGATATGGGAAAAGAATGATACGGAAAAGGATGTTACACTGGATTTACAAATTAAACCAGCTGATGTCTTA